TACTGATCAACTATTAGATTAAACAGATCTTATAATTGGATTTACAATTCAAGCAGATATTGATAAGTTGGATGTTATAGCAAAGATATGATGTGTCTATCTCTGTACAAAAAAGCATCTTGCAATTGATGCATTTTTTAATTTAGTTGAATTAGTAAATCTTCAAGAAAAAAATAAGACTGAATTAATATTTGATCAACTTCCAATTACACTTTTACCAACATCTTTTAGTCTAAAAAAAGATTTGATTATATCTGATAATCCAAGCAATCAAACAAATTATAGTACATATAAAAATTCAATGACGGGTGCAAAATTTTTACATGCTATTGTAACAGTAATTGAAGAATCAGTTTAAATGAGGTTCATAAATCACCATCTTGAAGTTTATTAATTGACGAAAGTAACACTATTATACATGATAAAATATGTGCAATAGTTAGCAAACACATGATGAGAAATATTCCTATACTTCGTTATTTAGGATTAATTGAGTTATTGAATACAGATGCCAATGCTATTATGAAAAATTTAGAGAATTTTTTTATCGCAAAAATACTAAATACAGATGATTTAATGCATTTTGATAGCAATAGTGCTAGTGTAATATTAGGTATGTATTATTGTATTTTAAATATAATTTTAATTATCAATAATATACGCTAATTTATTTAACTTTATTTATATATTATAGGTAAAAAAATAGAGTATCAGCAAAACTTCAACAAGTAAATCCATTTATAACTAATTATCATTACATTGCGCATAGATTAAATTTAGCTAAAAAGGATGCAGTTAAAGATGTTTTGTATTTTCAAGATTATGAAGTAACATTAAAAGAAATATATACTTATTTTGGTTCATCACATTAATAGTGTCAACATTTAAAGGTGTTTCAATCTTTAGATCAAGAAGATTCACAATTATCAATTCTACATATTATTAATACTCAATGGCTTTCACTTTCTAATGCTGTTTTAAATTTACACCAAATTATCTTTTCAATAATTGATGTACTCGATGATGATGCAATTAATAACACATGCAATAAAATACAACAATAGGCTCAAAGATTACATGAAGATATTGATTCAGAATTTATATTAGCAACAAAATTTCTTGCAGATATTTTGTTTACTTTTAGCAATTTAATAAAAATATTTCAATCTGATTATGTTGTACTATCTGATGTGCATATACAATTAAATGCAGCAATTGATTCAATTACTACTGAATTTATTGGCAGTAGTGATGTTCCTAATGATATAGATTATATTTTACCAACTTATGGAAATCATTTATGAGAATATATGTTGAATCTTATTGAACTAGATATATTACTAATAGCATTTAAAGAATTTGTTATTGCATTAGTAAATAATCTTCATCTTAGATTTTCAGATATTAAAATTTATAATACTATGAAAATTTTTGATTTTTCTCAAATTCTAATAAAGTCAAATGAAATAGCAATATATGGTGAACATGAAATCAAAATATTAGGTGATTTTTATAAAAGTTTTAAATATCAGAATAAGCAAGATTTTCTCACAAAGATTAATAAGACTAGACTTATTCAAGAATGTTATAAGGCAAAATTACTTTTAAAAAATTATCAAGAGTTTAATTTTATAGATAGATGGAGACGGATTTTTACCAGTTCTCAATTTTTAACACTTTATTCAAATTTAAGCAAAGTAGTTAATTATTCATTAATTGTGCCACTTTTAAATGGTAATGTGGAAAGAGTTTTTTCTCAACAAAATCTTATTAAAATAAAAGTACGCAATCAAATGAAACTTAAAGCTCTAAATTCTCATCTTATGATTGTTATAAATGGATCTGAGCTTAAAGATTTTGATTTTGAAAGGGCATTTAATATTTGACAAAGTTTCCAAGACGTATTTAATAAATAAATTTGTAAAATTTTTAGCTTAAATTTAATAAAATTTAGGAGTAATAAATATAAATGCAATTTTTTTTATTTTAGTTTTTTATTATGCCACAAATAATTTATAATCAACGCAACCTTGTGATTAAATTTGAATGCGTAATATGCAACTAAAATTAATAGTTCACATCTAAGCCACTTTTTCAGCTGTAGATTCGCAACTAAAAAAAATTTGAATTTTAGACACTATGTGTATCACAGTAATATTATCAATTTTCTATAAGACGTGTTAGAGTTTGCATTGTGCCTTCCTCAAAATCTTTCGTCACTTAATGTACTTGTTTAATAAACTGTTAAAATACTTCAGATATTTTAACGGTTCCCATTATCTAGTTTATATTAATAATCCTAAAGTTTTATTTGCGTCAATAGAATTATCAATGTAAATTACTATAATTAATATATATATTTATATTTATAGAGGAGAGCAATAATGATGAATTGGATTTTATGTTACAAGTTTAACTAAATAAGTTAAAAGGTTAAAATTAGTTTTATTAATTAGAGAAATTAGGTTCAATATTATTTAATAATTTAATAAGCTCTTGTTTGCGAACTTATAAAATTAAAGAATAAATAATTAACTAAAATTATTATAAAACTATTTGTAAAATAACTATTAAACTAACTATCTGAAAATTGAGTATCAATTAACTATAAATTTGACTAATTAATTAACTGATTGATAAGAATACATGAAATTTCTATCTTATTTATATAAAACTTTTGATCTAACTTTATTACTAAATTAAGATAAAGTACAACTTAATAAACTATAGAAATATTGTAAATATTGTTAACTTAATTAATAAGTTTAATCAAATAAACTATTTTAATTATATTAACATATTTAACTTTATTTTTTTAAACTTTAATGATATAATACTGCTATAAGTTTTATTAAAAGATTTATAATTTTAAATATTAATTAACAAAGTAAAAAAATACAAATAAGAAATTTAAATTAAAACTGCAGCTACTTCTTGTAGTTCTATTTCAAATTTGTTTGAACTAACTAATACTAGTAATTTCTTCTAAATATCTAAAAGAATTATTTTTAATAAGCAAATTTTTATCAAAAGAAAGTTAATAAAAGCATTTAATATCATAACGCTTTTTTTAAATTTGTCTATTAATTTCTTATTTTCTAAAAATTTACACCCTTTAGAACTAATAAATCTGAGATTAATATTTAATAAAAAGAAAGGTTAAAAAAGATATATAACTTCAACAAGTTCTTAGCTAAGTTGCCTGATTAATTTTTGATTATAGTAATCTTTTAATATAAGAGTACTCATATTATTAAGTTCTGTCAGAGACTCTTCAATACTTTCAAACTTCTATACTAAGATATCTATTAATTTAGATTATAGCTATCAGTAAGCATTATACAAAGTTTAAATCATATAGTTATAAAAAACTAGAAATCTCGTTAAGATTAATTAGATGTAATAGATCTTTAAAAGAATATTATTGTTTATGAAGGTAATTGAATAGTTATTATGTGAGATTTATTTATATTTAAAGTTATATTGATTCTGATAATCATTTCAAATACTTCTTGATGCTCACTTTTTATAATCAAAAAAGAAAAAGAAAAATATACAAAAAAATAGCTGAAAGAAGTAGTAAAAAATATTTTAATAAAAAATATTACTATTTAGATTAATAATATAATATTTTTTTTTGGATGAGAATATGAAAAATAAAAAAAAAAAGTTTAAATAGAAGAATTTATTTTTGTTTATAGACTAAACCATAGTCATCCTTAAACATACATATTTTTTACGTAAAAATTCTTGAATAAAATCAATGAAAAAAAGTATTTTTAACATATTTAACTTTATTAATGATATTATTAATATTATCATCATTTCTTTATTTTTATCATTTACATAATTTTAGCTAATTAATTACTAATTTGCATTAAAGAATTACAGCTTTGTATAGTAACGATTTATAAAATTATTTTTTTAGTTATTCATTTTAAAATATCTCGTCAACTATTAGTCTAATCAAATTAAGCTTATATTCATTAGAAAGCTCTCATTAAGATGATTCTAATGGTATTATTTTTATTAAAATATTAATAATTATAATATTTTATTTAACACTGTGATTAAAAGTTAGATTAATAATTTAATTATTATTTTCTTATCTGTTTTCATTAAATATTATTACTAATAGAACTTACCTTTTAAAGATTTCCAATTTAATTATCATGGATTTGAGATTCTATTAAATAAGACAAGATTTTATAAACTCTATTATATAGAAATTATATCTTAAAATCAAAATAAACTTAATCAAAAATACTTAAATCTATATTACTGAAGGTTATTATTTTTATTTTTTTCAAATTTAGTTAATTAAGCAAATATAATTATTAATTTATCTTTCCTATCTGTCTTGTATAAATAAAATCAAATTGGATATTACATTTGATTTTTTAGTTTACTTTAATAAATTTATGATAATCAATAAAAATTTTTAGGTAAAAGATAAAAAATATTAATTTTAGCTATTACTTTAGATTCAGTAATAAAACAGATATAATTATTAATTTATTTTTTCTATTTGTCTTATATAAATGAAATTAAATTTGATTAATACTTAATTTATAACTTTACATTAGAAAATTCATGATAATCAAGTCGATAGTATGAAAATTATCAAATAAAAAGTAAAAAAATGTTAATATTAGTTATTTATTTTAGATTCAATTAATAAATAGATATAATTACTAACTAATATATTTCTTTTTAATAAATTGAATCAAAATTTTTATTACTTTCTAGTTAAAGTCTTATTTTTATTAAATCTTATTTAAAATTGAAGAAAAATTAGTATCATATTTTGCTGTTATTAAGCATCCCCGAAATTAAGCACCCTCACATATAGTATAATAACCAAAAATAAGCACCTCCCAAAACTCAATCAAAATTTTAATTTACACGACAAATTATTTGAATGCAATATTATTTGATAATGTTTTTATTAAATTTAATATTTAATTACAATTATTATAATTTACAAATAAAAGAAAATTCTAAATTATCATCGGATCAGAACAAATTTGTTGTATATTAAATTCAATTTCAAAAAGTGGATCGTCTTCTAAAGTAATTACTTCATAGCTAAAATAGGATTAAAGTTGCAATTAGTATAACCAGATTAAAGAAATGAACTTTAATTTGAATATACCTGGCCTGTGAAGTCATCATATTCACTAATTCTTTATGCATAACTTTATCATCACTAATGTTAATGACCTCAAATTCTTCATTCTCTTTATTAATATCATCTTCATTTACAGGACTTGATATTTCATAAGTTTTAAAAGATTGGATAATGATTTCAAGTGAGATATTTTCCCATGAACGTTTAATCCAATTACACACATTAGAGTTCCAGATGAGTCAAGTTAACTCACGAGTCAGATAAGCTGAATCGAGTTCAAATCAAGTCGAGTTTATGTTTTTTTAACTCGATAATTTGCGAGTCAAGCCAAATTCAAGTTGAATTAAATATTTAACTTGACTCAATTTAAATTCGACTTGATTCGAGTTGACTTGAGTTGACTTAAGATAACTTGAACGATAAAAAAATCATTCAAGAAAAACGATAAGGAATCGTTTGACTTGAATGATAAAAAAATCATTCAAGAAGAATGATAAGGAATCGTTTGACTTGAACGATAAAAAATCGTTCAAGAAGAACGATAAGGAATTATTCAAGAAGAATAATAAGAAATTATTCAAAAAGAACGATAAGAAATCGTTTGACTTGAACGATAAAAAATTGTTCAAGAAGAACGATAAGAAATCATTTGACTTGAATGATAAAAAAATCGTTTAAGAAGAATGATGACCTGAATTGTTCTTTTCATTTTTTTTATTATTATTTTTTTTTCAAAATTGAATTGAGTTAAAATCGAGTCAAATCAAATTGAGTTGAGTTTAAAATTTATATAATTCAAATCAAATTAAATTGAAAGATTTTATAAAATAAATTTGACTTGACTCGACTTGAAAAAAATGAGTCAAATAGAGTTGGTCTTTAAACTTGACTTGACTCAACTAATTCGAAACTCTAGTACACATTACTTAATCTAGCACGACATAAGTTTCCTGTAGCAGTTCGTCTAACATCACCATTAGCCATCCAAAGATGTCATTCTTTTCAAAGATTATCTTTAAATGGTTTATTAATTGCAATATTAAGAGGTTGACAAATACTGGTTAATCCACCTGGAATCATCACCAAATCAAAACCATTGTCATAAAATTTTTTTTTAACAGAATCTTTCAAATGTCTTTTAAAAGAATCATAAACTATTATCTTCAGAGTCCTGAGCTTACTGATCTCTGTATTATTAAAGTATTCAATATAATCTTTCATTAAATCACTATTTATCCATCCATTTTCTTAGAACTAAACAATAATATTAGCAGGAACTTGTTCTTTATGTAGCATTCATTTTCCTTTAAAAATACAGATTGGAGGTAATTTGGTCCCATCTGCATTTAAAAAAAAATTAATTTATATCAATCCAAATAAAAATAACTTAAAAAAATTAATTAAGAATAAAATTTACCTGCTGCATATGTTAAAATAATGGTAAAATGATTCTTTTCATTACCTGTATCACAAATATGAACTGTTTTATCTCCCTTTTAGTTTATGGTAAAATTTCCCACCATATCAAACCAAACAGGTGTTTTATTCATGTTAAAAATATTACATAACTCATAACAATTTTTGATCCTAAAACGCATTACATATTGGTGAAATTTTTTCAATAATTCTTGTGTTTGTTTGGAAGCTTTTGAGAAATTTTTGTATGCTGTTATAAGGATAAATTGTATCTTTTCATAAACCCATATAACTAATGAAATGATGTCTTAAAACTTTCTATAGTATTACCATAAAGAGCAATCATATCTGGCTCTTTCAGAATATTAAATATTGTAACTTTAATGATTGCAAAAGTTACAGCCAAACCTTGTTTTTTTTGCCTTATAACCTAATTATAAATAGAGTTCCAAATGAGTTAAGTTGAGTCAAGTTTAAAGATCAATTTGATTCAACACTCTTTTTTCGAGTTGAGTCAAGTCAAATTTATTTTATAAAATCTTTCAATTTGATTTGATTCAAGTTATATAAATTTTAAACTTGACTTAATTTGACTCGACTTGATTTTAACTTGATTCGACTTTGAAAAAAAAAATAAAAAAAAATGAAAAGATCAGAGGGGAAGAGGGGGAGAAAAAAGAGCGAACAATTCATTATCATTCAAGTTGAACGATTCAGGTCATCATTCAAGTCAAATGATTTAAGTCATTATTCAAATCAAACAATTAATCATTGTTCTTCTTAAACGATAAAAAAATATTGTTCATGTCAACTCGAGTCAACTCAAATCAAGTCGAGTTTAAATCAAGTTAAATTAAATATTTAACTCGACTTGAATTTGACTTGACTCGCAAATTATCAAATCAAAAAAACATAAACTCAACTCAATTTAAACTCGATTCAGCTTATCTGACTCATGAGTTAATTTGACTCGTCTAGAACTCTAATTATAAAGTCTTTTCTCAACCTTAAATTTCATCTAGAACTAATTCGTAAGCAATGTAATTTCGTCTCTGCTGTCCATTTTGTACTTGCCTTCATCTAACGACTAATTATACTACCATTGAGTTCAAAATGCCTTGCTGCCTTATTTATCTCATATTGCTTGACATAAATGACAACTTCTTTTTTTTTGAAAATAGAATAGGAACTATGTTTAATTTTAGAGACTTATTTATACTTAATAGCCATTTACGTTTAGTAGTTTGGCATGTATTAATTTGATATTTAATACGTTTAGATAACATTTTTTTTATGGCATTTTTGGATGATTTAAAATGGGTTAAATAAGTTTGGAAATGATTTGCACGTTATTATCTTAAGGAGATTTTATTTCATCATTCTGTTATACAGATGTAACATTAATGTAAATAAAATTTTGGGTGCAATTTGATATTTATTGTTAAACAAAAATCAATGATCAAAACAAAGTACCTGAAATAAAACACCCCTATAGTAAAAAAGGAATACTTAATAACAGCAAAATATGGTATATTTTATTTTATAATTATTAGTAAATAAATTACTAATTTACTTATTTTTAATAATTTAGTAATCCTTGAATCTTTATTACTAAAAGAAATCTGATTTATTTGCTATATTATAATTATTAATATTAAGACCTTAATTGTATTAATAATAAAGTAGCATTGATCATTTTTTATGATATTTAAAAATTAGATAATGTATATAAATTCAACATCATTTTTATAAATATATAAATATTTTTATTTATAAAAATTGATTTTTAATATACTAATTTAAAATAAATAATTAATTTAAATTATACTGATAAATTTAGATTTTGTATTAAAAATTATATAAGTCTCAAGTTTTGAATAGATTAATAAGATCTTCATATAATTAAATGATTTAAGTTACAGTTATATCATATATTTAAATGTCAAATAGATTTCAGTCTATATTATAAATAAAATATTAATATAATATAATTTATATCTACTTCATATTATTAAGTCTGCACTTTTAGATAAGACACATATAATTATGAGACTTTAATTATTTTAAGAATAAATTTAAGAATATTAATATTAACTCTATCATAAGCTTTTGATAAGTTTTATAAAAAAATTCATAATCTTTTCTTCTTTTTAGCAACATCTTTAATAAACATATTCATTAATTTTATAGAATTTTTATTAGAACTTCTAGATAATCCTACAAAATTATTATCTTTTAAGACTTTATATTTTACAAGTAATCTAAATAAATAATTATTAATGATTTTGACAAAAGTTTTTCTTATTATTTTTAATAAAATAATTAAACAAATTTTAGAAATATCATAGTTTCAGTTTACAAGTTTAGGAATAAGATAAATATAAATGATTTTTTACTTTAATAAAATATCACTAAGTTCAAAATATATTTTAATTAGTTGTTAAAGTAAGTTTTATAAATTTAATTCTAAGTATTTAATCATTTTATTATATATTTTTGATAGTCTAATTGCTTTGTTATTCAAAAGCTAAGAAATTATAAATGATTATTTTTCTAATATAAATAGTTGCATAATACTAATATACTATATGTTATCAATATTATTTTTTAATTTATATTGGTTTTATCCATTTTTTAAAAAAAAAAATAGCAGAAAAATCAGAAATAGCATAATATTAAAAATATTTATTCATATGGTATTTGATCAGAATTAGATCATTAATTAAAATTTTTTGATTATTTATATTTTCTAATAATAAGATAGTTGAAAATAATAGATTATTTTTTCTATAAAATACAGATTGTATCATTTTTTTTAAGCTAATTTTAAACTGAAGATAGCATTTATTTATAATATTTAAATTGTTAGTAATATTGTATTTCTTTATTTTAGCTAAGGCTTTAATATTATGTTATAGCTTTAAAGTAATATATTTGACTTTTTTACCATTAGTTTTATTAATATAATCAGATAAATTGATATTTGGTAGTTTAATCTTATCTATTATCTATTATATTTTTAATAATCTTATAATTATCTATTTATTTAATACTAATAGACTACTTTTTCGATCTAATATAAATAATTTTAAACTTTATTATAATATAATTGAGAAGCTTTAGCTAGTTATAATAAGTAACTAATTTTTTAGCTTTAGATATTTTATGATTAGTAAAGATTTATTTAAAAGAGATATTTTTATTAGTAACTATTATAATAGAAATTTTTAATAAGCTCTTATAGTTTGTTTATTTTTAAAATAAAGAAAAATATAATGAGTTATATTTATTCATAGTATATTAATGAAAATATCTATTTGTTATTTTAGTAAAAATTGTTTATATTGATATAATTATTATTGTAAAATTAAATTTTCTTCTTTTGTTTTGTTTCTTTTCACATTCATTTTTTATTTAAAAATAAAATTAATAAAAATTATAGTAATAATTTTATGATCTAATTATATATAAATAGTTTTGAGATATCATAATATAAGAAATCAACTATAAAATTTGAAGAGATAAAAATACTATCCAGTTTTTTTAGATGAGAAATTAATGATGTTATTATTTAAAAAATAGAAGTGAGTAGAATTTCTTTATTACTAATTATTTAAAGATTTAAGAAATTTTTATAAAATAGATCTTT